GTGTTGTATCTGTCTTACAAACACATTAGAAAATTGTACGTTATGAATAATTGATTTAACTTTTGTTATATTTAATTTTAGAGTGAATAATCTAATTTAAAAGTAAGATTATTATCTAGCCGATGACGTAGGTTGATATAATTTATATTTCAATTTTAAAATGCTCATAAGTACACAACTCACTTTCAAATTGAAATATAAAAAAAAAACCTTAATTATTACAGTATAGATTATGTTTAAGTGCTCAAATCTACTCACCTATATTTACACATAATATTACAGACACGTATCTGGGACCTCATCTTGGGGGGGAATTCATTTTTTTAGGAATACTTAGTCCAAATCCTCCATAATACATTTAAGCTGGTGTGCTTTTACATTAAAAATAATTTGCTGTGCTTAGTAATGCATTTAATTAAACAACTATTATTAAAATATGTAATAAATTATCGGTTAATGATTTATAATAATATATATTATTATATATATATTTGTCGCCGTTCTGTGCGACAAATCATTTATATAATGAACCCATTTTGCGTATGATGATAATAGCTAATGGATCCAATTACATCTAAACAACTTCTTGTGTCTAATTATTTTGTATTATATTATTATCTGTTAAATATTATGTATGTAATAGTGTATTATTATTATTAATTATTAATGTCATWTAACGATATAACTGTCAAGRGCTGGTCCCGTTTACTATTATAAGRAATAAATAAATATGTCATAATGAATTTATTACATCTGTCATTTTCTAAAATAAGAGATCGTATGTCTCTTTTTCATTTTAGCGAACCGTTGAATAATATGTCCCATTTTTGATCGCAACCAAGTTTTCAATCTACAGAATATGCAAGCATGTAGCAAAAATTCWAATACAAGCAGCTTAGCGTGCACARGCTAATGCAATTATAATAGAAAACAAACAAAATTAAAAACTACTTTCTTAATGTTGAAAATGATCTTTCAGCTGAAGCAACGCTAATGGGCAAACATGCAATTATTAAAAGTAACCTCTTAATATTGGGATATATAATTTCACAGCAATAATTCTTAAATCGTAAATTAGTAATATTATTATACAAATTTATTTAAAAAAATTGTAGATCATACAATTTTTTTATCATCTAATAACTTATAAGATTCCTACATTCTAAGAATTAAGATGGTATAAGATATGTATAAGGTCAATATGGAGAGGGCGATTGCCCCCATTGCCCTCCCTCAAATACGTGCTTATTGTTATTACCGCCTTTTATACCTCTTACACATTACAGTTATTCATATTATTATTGTTATTTAACTTATTTTGATGATAATCACTAAGTTTGGGTCGCCGAAAAAATATCTTCTTCGAGGTACGAATATATAATTATATAATAATATATAATAATTTAATACTATTAAATAGTGCATTTTATAAGCCGATTTTATTCATTAATTATTAAATATTGTTTACGAGAATCTTAACTTACTACTCGATAATGTGAATGGTTACTTCATTAAAATATTTATTGCGCTAACCAAGGTTATGTGTAATGTAAATCTTATACTTTAAATGGCTTAAATAACCGATAAATGTTTGGTACATAAATTATACAAAGGTCTGTTAAAGGACCATCCAACTCATACAATTTTCTTTGGCTTAAAGTATAGTGCATACTATAAC